ATGGGTACTACTATATTGTCCCCCCTTGACAGGTAAATAATTGAATCACAGAGAATGTAAAAACTTGCCCATAGTCATATGGCTAACTGGCAGAATACTTCACCCTAGGCAGTTGGCTCCTGAACTCATGTGCTTAACTCTCTCACAAGAGATTATTCCTAAAAGTACTCCTGGAAGAGAGACTCTTGTGAGGGGGGAGGTGGGGGCCACTGCTCTCTTCTTGAAGTACACAGACAGAGCAAGAACAGCACTTGAGACCAGCCATGTAGACCAAATACCCAATACAAATCTCAAATATCAAAATGAGACTGTTTCCATAGCTGAAAAGTTACCAGCTCTAGCCAACATGCCCTCAGCTGGAAAGGAAATTTCACCATTGCACAGTTAGGGCAGTTTTTTGGAGGAAAAAGGACAATTTTATGGGTTTGTTGTTTTTGTTTTTTTTTTTTGTCATCTGATTTCACAGAGTCTGGGAACCATTCATTCTCTTTTGAGATGATTTATCCTATCCATTATCTGTTGAGCAGGCAGGGGACATTCTTTCTAATTCATTTCCAAATACTAAGGGCAATGATGACTTCACGCTAGCTTCCAAATACAGACCCATGACAAATGAGAAAAGCCACCATCAAGTGAATGACCTTTGAGCTGAGTGTTGGTTAGCTGACTGGCTGAGACAGATCTCAGGATATGAGCTTGGAAACAGTTTAAGCAGTTTGGCCCTGTGCTAAATCATCCTAGACCCAGACACTATGAAGGCCAAGATAGCTACTAGCCTCTCCTGGGCTTTCCAGTCCCTACTATGACTTCCTCAGTCAAATTACAAGACCTCTAAGGTCACAGGACCACTGAGTTCTATGATGTCATAAGCAACTGACTGCCCTAGTCACTTCCTATTCTCATTTAAGACCCTCTCAATTGTTAACCTACATAACAGAGGCTCTCTAGAAGAAAAGATGTTTATTTGGGAATAGAACATTGCAAGATACATGCCATAATAAACTAAGTGTGTAGTCAGGGAGGTAAAGGAAGACAAAGGTTTTTAAAAGAAAAAAGAGGAAGAGTACATACTTGTTTTTTAAATGATTATCCCTAGCCACAAAGATCAATAACAAGAACGATGCCAGTCTGAGGTTAGCCAGGCCGTTGCTGAGCAGGTGTCCTTGTGGAAGTACTTTTTGTGTAAGGTTGTGATGGCCCTTGTGTAAGGTTATGGCTGTTACGGAGTCGTTTTCATTTTCAAGCATTCAAGTGTGAGGACTATTCTTTCATAGCCTTTCCCAGCTCTGTTTGTCAGAGTTTTCTTAACTTTCATGACTCTAATTCTGATCAAAATGATATAATCACACAAAATTATATTCCTAACACAACTTCTATTTGGTCATCCTGCTAAAACGAATTTTCTTCCTGATTCCCACACAAGTAATTGTGCTTTTTTACACAGTTGGCACTTACAGTTTTGGTTTTTTCCTCTTTTCTTACTCTATTATATTGCCTTTTAGATTGCAGTCTTAGAGTAAACTCACCAAGAAAAAAAAAGAAGGAAAATTTACCTTCCTAAAAGGCAGAAGCTGGCTAAGGAAGGAGCATATCCAGGACAGGCACTGTGGCTCAGGCTTATAATCCTAGCACTTTGGAAGGCCCAGGTGGGTGGATCACCTGAGGTCAGGAGTTCAAGACCAGCCTGACCAACATGGAGAAACCCCGTCTCTACTAAAAATACAAAATTGCCTGGGCGTGGTGGCACATGCCTGTAATCCCAGCTAGTTGGGAGGCTGAGGCAGGAGAATCACTTGAACCTGGGAGATGGAGGTTGCTGTAAGCCAAGATCGCACCCATTGAACTCCAGCCTGAGCAACAAGAGCAAAACTCTATCTCAAAAAAAAAAACACAAGAAGAAGCATGTCTGGTAACTTTCTTTGGTGACATCATAGGGGAGGGAAACAAAATTCAGACAAAGTCCTTGGTAGAAGTTTATTCTGGGCCCTACTTCCACATTAACTTAAAGACAAAGAATTTCATTTCCAGAATGTATTACTGTCTTGAATAGGAGAGTAAGTTAAAAAGAAAGAGTTTAAAAAAAAAAAAAAAAGCAGATACTTATGAAAACCATTTCAATTTCACTTGGGAAAGAAAAAAAAAAATCCCTGTAAAATCTCTTACCTTAAAATGATACTGACTCCAGCTAAGTTTTGGCTAAACAGCACTGCCTAGTATACAGCTGACCCCCGAAAAACATGAGTTTGAACTACGTGGCTCCAAGTATACAGGGATTTTCTTTCACCTCCGCCACCCTTGAGACAGCAAGACCAACCCCTCCTCGTCCTTTTCTTCCTCCTCTGCCTCAGCCTACTCAATACGAAGACAAGGATGAATACCATCATGACTGACTGACATTTAATGAATCGTGAATATACTTTCTCTTCCTTACGACTTTCTTAATAACATTTCTTTCCTCTATCTTATTTTATTGTAATCATACAGTATATAATACATATAACATACAAAATATGTGCTAATCAACTGTTTATGTCATCAATAAGGGTTCTGGTCAACTGCAGGCTCTCAGTAGTGAAGTTACTGGGAAGTCAAAAGTTACACACATTGTCCTGTATGTGCAGAGAACAGTGCTCCTGACCCCTGAGTTGTTCAAGGCTCAACTGTAGTCTGTAACACAAGACTTCTCAGAGCCTTTGTACTTTCCGCTTACCCTCTCTGGCAGAGTCGCTCCCAAGACATCCTATGGTTTATCCCTCTGCTCAAATGCCCCTGGCCAGAAAGGCCTTCCCTGGCCATTCCATCTAAAAGAGCAACCCTACCAAGACCCCATCAACTCCCAGCACTCCCTGTTGTCTTTTATTTTTCCCTGATTGATTTCTCTTCATAGCAGTGATTACCTGAGTGATATCATTTTTATTATCATCATTGATTTGTTTTCTCCCACCAGAACATAACCTCCACGATAAATGTCTGTTTTGTTCCTTGCAATAGTGAACTGTCCCTAAGTAGGTAGCAGCCATCCAGTAAATTTGTTATACCAGGGTGAGAGGATCCCCTGGGCCCAGTAGTTTGAGCCTGCAGTAAGCTATGATTGTACCACTACACTCCAACCTGGGTGACAGAGCTGTTTTTAAAAAAAAAAAAAAAAAAAAAAAAAAAATTGTTAATGAAATAATGAATGCATATCATTTCAAAGTTTTTTTTTTTCAAATTCCTAAGTTTTTGGCGAGGCACGGTGGCTCACATCTGTAATCCCAGTACTTTGGGAGGCTGAGGTGGGTGGATCACTTGAGACCAGGAGTTCAAGGCCAGCCTGGCCAACATGGTGAAAACCCATTTCTCCTAAAAAATACAAAAATAAGTGTTGGCGTGTGCCTGTAGTCCCAGCTACTCAGGAGACTGAGGGATGAGAATCACTGGAACCCCAAAGGCAGAGTAGGCAGTGAGCCAGTATCACATGACTGCACTCCAGCCTGGGTGACACAGCAAGTGAGACTATCTCAAAAAAAAAAAAAAAAAAAACCTTAAGTTTTTAAAAATTACGTGCTAAGATCATTTTTCTTCCCATGGATTACTTGACATATAATAATATACCTATTTGGACTAAAAATCATGTGCTAAGATCATTTTTCTTCCCATGGATTACTTGACATATAATAATATAACTATTTGGACTAAAAATCATGAGACTTAAGTCTCTCAGCTCTGCCACTAATTTCTTGTATAACTTGGTTAGACCATTTCTCAGTTTTACCTTGTGCTACTGACATTCTACAGCTTGCAGCCACGACTAAAATCCCACAGAAATGCAGATTACATATATAAAGATTTCTCTGTGCATGTCACCTTTAATGACTTATGTATGGCATAAAATAAGGACTGTAAGAGCTACTTTTCAAGAGGATGATCTAAGATATACTCTATTAATATTCTCTCGCCAGGGTCTAATCTGGAAGGTTCAGATTTTTAAATTGCTGACCTCAAAAACACCTGCTATTTTCAGAAACTTACAAACTACAGACATGTTAACCTATCTCCACATTTAAACCGTAGTGCTTTGCCCTTTATTCTACCTTCAAACTTGCTACCATTCATTATCTCCATTTCTACAGTATCACGAATCTCATGGCATATAATCCTTTGTGAAAAGTGTTTATTATTTACATTCTTATATCACCAAAATCTAGACTTTTTTCAGCTATACTTGGAAAACTGTTCCAAATAGATTACATTACCCACTGGAGCTAAAGATCAGGGAAAAATCAACATGGGATGTTCATGAATAACGTGTGAGTCTGTTATGGAAAGACCGTATTTAATTAAATGAGACTACATATACAGTGATTTGGAGAGATGAGAAAAACAGTATTTAATATGTTAGCTACCGATTACTATATTTAAAGAATCTCTGAGCTGATAATTTTGAGAATTCACCCTAGTTCATCTAGGACCCTCCATTTAGTACTTAAGGAGAAAAGTCTCATTTTCCAGAATCGAATATAGATAATTAAGCACACAATTGTGTAGAATGGATTTCACTGTGTATTCAAATCAAGACAAACTTACTTTTTAATAGTCTAACACCTCCAAATAGTAGTTGCAAGCATCGAACCCATGAAGTCCAGATAATTAATGTATATAACATCATACTGTTAAAAGTCAGGTGGGCTCCAAAACAGCCCTAACCAGCATGCTCTACGGCCTCCTCTAAGGCAACAGCTGAAGTGAAGACCACTAGGATAAAAAGCTGTCGAGCCTTGCCCACTACTAAATTATCCCAACAGACCCCAGAGCCTCTCTGGGATTCTCTCTGCGCACCCTGCGGCCCACCCCGAGTTCCCGGCATCCTCTGGGTTCCCTCTTCCTGGCGCCAAAACGCTGCGCAGGCTTCTTTCCTCCAGGCTGGTTGCCTAGGTGATCTCCGAGGGCTGTCCGAAGTCCCAAGAGGGCGAACCCGTTGCGGGGCGGGGGCGGGGGCAGGGGGGAGGGGGCAGGGGGGATGGGGCGCGGCTGGGGCTGCAGAACTCCCGCAGTGGGGTTCCTTCTAGCGGCTGAGTCTGCGTCCTCCGCGAGATCCCAAGATATTCTTATCGCACGGAAACGACTACTGGCCTGGCCAGAGGACTCGAGGCGTGAGCGAGGTGCTGGCCCCAACGGGACAACAGGACGGCGAGGTACGGAGAAGGCAGGCGAGCGTGCCCCGGAGAATGAGCGCCTCCGCACACCGCGGGGTCCAGGAGTGAGTGCCGGAGGGAGCTCGGCTGCGCTGCGGGGAGTTGCGGCCTCATCGTGCTTCCCGCCAGGAGCTTGGTCCTGTGGGGACGCGGCTGAGCGTGGACGCGCCGCATCGCCCGCGGAGTGTGGCTGAGTCGGGGCTCTGCAGCAGGTCAGCGCCTCGTGGGCCCCGTGTGCGCCTGGAAGGAGGGAGGTTTAGGCCGGTCCGGGTCTCCAAACGTGGAGCTGTGATGCCCAGGCAAAAACTTCAGTCTCCGAGGACGGAGGGTGTCATCTATGTGAGACAGTCGGCTCCGGGGCTTTGGCAGTGATTTGCCATAGAGCTTGGACTTTCTTCTGTGTAGTCCACGCTCCAACACAGGCTTTCTTTAGAGAGGGGTGTAAACCAGTCCATTTGGAATTGTCAAGTACTTTGGTCCCTCAAGAACAATGGAAACTTGACAAGAAATTTCCATTATATTCCCTTGTCTTAGTAACCACATGGGAAGATACTTGCGTAGAAGGGTAATGGTCATCACCAATACAACCTTCTGGTAGCTACTGAGATTTCTAAGAGTGAGAATAATGTAAGTGAATATTAGAACAGACAGTATCTACAGAAAAATATTAATCAGAATGTAAAGTCTTGTCACTTGAACCTTTGGTCAGTTGAAGATTACGGAGAAAACTTAAAATTACATTGCTGCGTTTCACTAAGTGACTATAGTTTTTTTATTCATTATCTTTGAATGCCTCAGGATCATTCTGAACTTGCTCTGTAGTATTTAATTGTAAATATAATAGAATGTGAATGATTTGGCTGTATACTCTGGAAATTCCTTTTAATTATTTACTTGATTTGTCTTTTATTATGGTTCTCTTATAATCATGGAAATTTCCTTTAAATCTTTGAAATTGAAGGTTTCATTAGTTGTATTCTAATTAGTTTTTAGAAAAGACTGTTGTGACTTAAAAAAAAAAACCCGTCTCTACTAAAAATACAAAAAAAAAAAAAAAAAAAAGATAGCCGGGCGTGGTGGCAGGCGCCTGTAATCCCAGCTTCTTGGGAGGCTGCGGCAGGAGAATCGCTTGAACCCGGGAGGCGGAGGTTGCAGTGAACTGATACTGTGCCATTGCACTCCAACCTGGGAGACAGAGCGAGACTCCATCTCAAAAAAAATTAATTAATTAATTTAATTAAATACAATTGAATTTGGCCGGGCGCGGTGGCTCAAGCCTGTAATCCCAGGACTTTGGGAGGCAGAGGCAGGTGGATCACGAGGTCAAGAGATCGAGACCATCCTGGTCAACATGGTGAAACCCTGCCTCTACTAAAAATACAAAAAATTAGCTGGGCATGGTGGCGCGTGCCTGTAATCCCAGCTACTCAGGAGGCTGAGGCAGGAGAATTGCCTGAACCCAGGAGGCGGAGGTTGCGGTGAGCCGAGATCGCGCCATTGCACTCCAGCCTGGGTAACGAGCGAAACTCCGTCTCAGAAAAAAATAAAATAAAATAAAATTGAATTTATTTTTGAGTACTCGTTTAATATAGTAAACACTTACAGCTTGAAAAGCTGTCAAATAAGTTCCTTAGAAATTGTTTTACAGCCTACCCATATATTACAAGAAATCTCACATCAAACACTGGAAGAGATGTCAGAAGATTCAGAAAAAGACTATTCAGACGAAACAATCAGTGATGAAGATGAATCGGTATGTTTTTCTCAACTTTATTTTACTCGGAGATAAAATTTGTATCATTAACCCCAATTAAAACATTGTAAAATCAATTGAATGTTTAAATTATTGTCATTGAAGTTGGGAAATAATTTGACTGAAAAAGCTAAGCTATCACTGGGAACACTGTGGCCTGTTTAGAAAGAAAAACTATGTTTGAATTTTTTTTTTGAGAAAATATTTTAGCTAAGATTCTTCTAGGTTTTATTAAAATTCATGTCTGAAATTATTAGTAGGGTTTTATTTTTAGGATTAATGTCCACTTATTTTCTTACATGTGCTGATTCCATTGTGTTACACCGTGATATGTATCATAGCACCATGTTCTAACCTTATTTTGTATCACTGTAACAATTTTAATGTGGCTCTGATGTCATAAAGGAAGGGACCTGGAAGAAGAAAAAAGGGAAGAAATGTAGTATTTAAAATTCTTTAGTCTGTTTCTACTACATATTCTGACAGATTTCCTTCAAATTTTATTAAAGTATAAATTATGTATGTAAATTTATGTCCCAAAATAAGCTCTTAAAGCTTACTTTAGCTACTTAAAGCTACCTAAGGGATTTATGGCTTTCGGTGGGTTTTTTTTATTGTTGTTAATTTTATTTATTTATTTATTTTAAGACAGTTTTGTTCTTGCTGCCCAAGCTGGAGCGCAATGGTGCAATCTCGGTTCACCGCAACCTCTGCCTCCTGGGTTTAGACGATTCACTTGCCTCCGCCTCCTTAGTAGTTGGGATTACAGGCATGTGCCACCACACCCAACTAATTTTTTTGCATTTTTGTTAGGAATGGGGTTTCACCATGTTAGCCAGGCCGGTCTCAAACTCCTGACCTCAGGTGATCTGTCTGCCTCAGCCTTCCAAAGTACTGGGATTACAGGCGTGAGCCACCGCACACTGCCAATTTTATTCTTAATTTAAATTGTTTTCCCAGGTTTACCAATAATCTTTAAACTTTATTCCTTCCATAGATTCATTATTATGACAATACCCAGTGGAAGAGGAGGAATAAAAGATCCAAACTTTAAGGTGCAGGATATTTGAAGTGTTGGGTGCTTTGGCACTTCAGATACCCTGAATATTGGCCAAAACCAATAATAATTCTTTAATTTTTTCATTTATTAAAGGTTAAAGACATATACTCAACCCCAAGTACTAAAATAGATGTAAACAATTTCTGGATTTGAAAACTGTTGGATTTTAAAAGAGAAATATTTTTAAATTCTTATTTTAGGATGAGGATATGTTCATGAAATTTGTAAATGAAGATCTTCATCAATGTGCACTTTTAACAGGTTTGAACTTATTCATGTAGTTTTTTTTCATCATAAAACCTTGAGTGGGTAAAAAATAAGATGAGGAAACTAAAAAGTCAGATTGAATAATACAGGGAATGATTCTAGTAGATTGTGAGACAAATGTATCCACTTGCAGAGTTGAAACTTTTCAGGTTTGTTTTAGGTAAACTTATTTTATATTAGAAAATAAGAAGTGAAAGTGGTGGTTCTCTTATATTTAACGTAAGGATTGTCATTTATTTAAATACATTTTCTGTATGACTCAAGTTATAATGGACAGATTATGTTAGAAGTATATCTTCATTTAAGTGAAGTATATTGTCTAAAGAGTCTCCTTAATAAAGTCATTCATTTGCAACTGAACATGTGTGTGGGCATCTTGATGTTTACCTAATTTTTAAAAATTTATACTTAGAGTTGTATTTTCAAATGCTAAAATATCTCTACTAAATGTTTACATATGTATCACAAATACTCTGAAACTGAAGTTAAGGCCTTTATCTTTTTTTTTCTTTTGTCTTTTACCAGCATCCTAAAATAAATCTTCCTCTTTGAGATAACCACCATTCTCAGTTTGGTGTGTATCATTCTAGAACTTCTTCTTTGCATATACACATATCTATACCCGTAGACATAGGTATTTCATAGTACTCTTTTATAGACTTTTCCCTGCTGCCCTTTTCTGTTTTTAAAATTTTGCCAAGCTATTGGAAGACAGGAGATAACTCACTGCTTTAACTAGCATTTCTGGAATTGCTAGAGAAGTTGAGAATTACTTCCATAGGCTTATTAGTTGGTATGAATTGCCCATTTATAGTAATCCTTTTATGTTTCTTCTTTTGTTTCGAATATTACCAAAAGCAAGATAAAACGTTTCATCACCCCTAAATGTTCCTGTGTCTCTGCAGTAGATCCTCTCTTTCCAGGCTTCACCTCTGGCTCCAGGCAACCAGTGATTTGCTTTCCCTCCCTCTATTTGGCTTTTCTAGATTTTCACAAAACAGAATCATACATTTTGTGTTTTCTGTCTTCTTTCACTTAACATAATACTCTTGAGATTGATCCATCTTGTTGCATATGTCGGTTGTTCCTTTTTATTATTGAGAGGTATTCCATTATGTGAATAGACCACAATGTCTCCATTTAGCCATCCATTCATGCACATTTAAATTGTTACCAGTTTGGGGCTGTAACAAATAAAGCTCCTGTGAACCTTTTCGTACAAGTCCTTATGTGAACATGTTTTTCTTTTTCTTGGGTAAATCCCTAGGAACAGTATTGTTGGGTTATATGCTAAATATACGCTGTCTGAGAAACTGCGAATCTGTTTTCTAAAGTGGCTATATCCCTTTGCATTCCCTGCAATGGTTATTTCTTTACCAAAAATTCTTACCTTTTAATTCCGTACAAGTGTGCTTTTCCTTTACCTCATGGAGTATCATTGTAATGACTCCTTTAAAGTTCTTGTCTGATAGTTTTAGTATCTGAGTTATCTTGATGTTGACATTTGTTGATTGCCTTTTGCCCTGAGAACTGGTCCTATTCCTGGTTTTCCGTTACTCGTGCTACGTTGTGTAGAGTCTGGGTCCTTCTGGACAAGGTCGATGTATTTCTTCTAGCAGGCAATCAGTCCAGTTAGGTTTAAGCAGTAAGTTTTGTCACCCCTTCTGTGGATAGTGATTCAGATCTCAGTTCTGATCTCTAAGCCTTTGCTATGCTTATTTGGTTCTCTCCTATGCCAGTGTAGTTCAGGAATTTTGAGACTTTATAGATGGTTCAAATCTCTGTTTAGTTCTCTTAAGCTTTCCTTGTGTTGATTTGGGACTATCTTGCACATGTGTAATTCAGGGGTTGAGCTAAGATGTGTGTGGGTGGGGGAGGGGGTTGGGGGTTAGTTAAAGTTTCAGTTACGTTTTCATAGTTTCTAAGAATGTGTCTGCTTGTATAGCTCAGGGATTTGGCTGAGACTTGTGTAGGCTTATATACAGGATTAGGAGATACCTTTCTGTGGTTTCCTTCTTCCCTTCAGATTCCCTGCACACTGTAAGGACCCCTTTTCCTGGTTCTTCTGTTGGATGAATGAGCTATAGAACAATCCTGATAAGTAGCTAGGGAAGATGATATTATTAGTTATTGACCTGTAGTAAGATTTATGTTCCAAGAGGCTGCTTTGCCCAAACAAAGTCATACAGAAACAAAGTGGTAAAAGGGAAGGAACCCAGTTATCTGATTCTAGTCCAGTGTCTGTATCTGCTGTTGTACAAAAATAACCAAGAACTAAATCTCAGCAAAAAGCCACATTTCAGAGGTGAAAAAGCAAGAGGATTCAGTGAGACAAATGGAAAACCAAATATGTAAAAGGGTGGTGGAAATCCAGGAAATGTATCATAAAAAAAGGGGAGTACGCTTAAGGAGGGGTGATCGTCAATATCAAACTGATGCCGTACAGTATCACAACAAAAGACCAGGCCACTGCACGTGGTCTGCTTGGCATAGCCCCATAGGAGTCTATGTGAATTGTGTTCCTGGCATTGCATCACACAGTAGGTCTAGAAGGAGAACTGAGAAAAAGTTGTGACTGAGTTCACTAGTAAGACTTGAGAATACAGTTCCAGTAAGTAGTGAGTTACAGTTCATCACTGTATTTAACTCATTAGACAAAAAATAGTGTGACTAAGTTTAAGAAGAGTCAACATAGATGATTTGCTAGAAAAGCCGCAAGAAACAAATGTTTTTAAAGTAGTAGTGAGCTTTTAGAATAAATGAATAGTATAAAGGTCAACAACTATTTTTTAGCTATTGTGAAGATCAATCATCACAAAATTTCATTAGTACTTTTATAAAAAGTGCCATGAATTGTAAAACATTTATGAAGATATCTACACATCAAATAGTGTTGAAAAGGAAAAAGGAACTATATAAAAATTGTAGGAATTGGGGTTTTTCTTCTTCCCACTCATGATTTTGTTTGAATCTTTTTCTCAGCTGACTCTTTCGGTGATCCCTTCTTCCCCCGGACTACACAGATACTATTAGAATATCAGCTAGGGAGATGGGTGCCACGTCTTCGTGAACCACGGGATTTATATGGTGTCTCTTCTTCCGGTCCACTGAGCCCAACACGGTGGCCATACCATTGTGAAGTCATCGATGAAAAAGTCCAGCATATTGGTATGTTTGTAGCAGTTTGGGAGATTCAGACACTAGCAAACTTACTTTTCCAACCTTGATTTTAATGAGGAGACTCACAATGTTAGAAAACAGTACATTCTGACAGAAATATAACATAAGTCACATATGTAATTATAAATTTGCTTGTCACCACAGTTAAAGAGGTAAAAAGAAAATGAAATTAACTTTAAAAATATATTTTATTTAACCCAAATATATCCAAAATATTTCACATTCTTTCCGTATAAGAATGTGAAATATTTTTTGTCCAAAGTCTTCAGAAAATGGCGTGCATTTATATTTACACACATTTGAGTTGAAATCAGCCACATTCCAAGTGTTCAGTAGCCACATGGGCTTAAATGGAGGCACTTATAGCATTTGCTTGGCTCCTAAAGCATCACTAATTTTAAACACTTCCAAAAGGCATGATGGTGTCCAAGGCAGTCAAACTCAGACACAGAGTGAAGTCACAGATGGAGGCTATGCCAGAATGTCTGTGAGCTGTAGTCCTGCTCTTCGTGGCTCCCTGTCTCTTTCTCCTTATTTCCTCCTTATATGTCTGTCTTCTCCTTAGTGTATCTTTATCATCTTTTACCTCTTTCTGCCTTTTTCCTTTTTTCCATTTCTTTTCCTCTTTCATTTTCTCTTTCAGCTCCTCTCCTTTGTCTTGTTCCTACTTCCTACTTTGTCCTTTAACGGATGTTTATGGAACTGAAGAGTGTATATTTGCATATATGTAGATTTTAATGTTTCTGTATGTGTGTATTTCCAAATTTACTTTTTGCTTTCCCAGGTAAAGCTTATAGCCTCATCTCTCCAATCCATGCACAGGCATGACAAATATCCCACTGTCCACCATCTTTCACTGCCACGACTTTTCACCTTTTGTTGATTGCGGCACGTAAACATATGTTATTGCCTGGAGAGATCTTAGAGACATTCATTGGTGAATAAAATAACTACACATATATACTTTTTATAACTGTACACTTATTACAGTGCCTACCAGGAGTTCTTAAAAACTAAATTTTCTTCATATATTATCTGGCATATAGATAGATAGTTATGGGGAGAAAAGAGAGGGAGTGGAGAAAGAAAGACCACATTTTTGTTCATAGAGAACAAAGTTAATTTTCCTCAAGAATTCCAGAGTTACAGGGTTAAAAATATAATAAAGAACTAATGCTTAATAGTACTTAACAGCATCACGTAATTTACACAGATCTCTTCAAAACTGGGTATATATTTATCTTCTCCAGTATAGGACATCCCTTTCTCTCCCTTTTTCTCCTTTCAGTCCTTCTGCCATCATTCCCACCTCTCCTCTGCTCCCACCCACCCCAGCCTCATTTTGCTACAGCACCAGGGCAGGAAATTAAAAAGTCCAGCAAAGAAAACCCTGCCATGCTACTGAATTGGAACCCTCCCGCAAGCCTTTCTTTTTGTACTTTGGTTCTGTTTCCCAGCCTCCTCATGACATAATCTGTGCCAGAGGGAATGAATAAGGAGCAAATAAAGGAAAATCCCTACTGCTCGTACTGTGGCTTCTCCCTAATTTCTCTCCAGCAGCAGTGATGAGAGAATGAGAGCAGCAGAGACCCAAAAGGAAGAGGAAAGCAACACCCATCCTGCCACTGCTTCTTAGGGTCACTTCCAGCCCCGTGTGCTCGTCCCACTCCACTTAGCTCCACCTCATCTAACTAGAAAACCCTTCTGTCACATCCTTGCCACACCTTTCTGTTCCTTACATTTCCTAGCCCTCACTTTCAACCTTCATTCTGCCCTCCGTCATAGGCGTCACCATCAGAAGTTCAGAGTGGGGAGTTTCTACTCTTCTTGTTTGCTTGGTAATCCCCCACTGTTACTCTTGAGGTTCTTTCAGATGAGGGCAGCTGCATTTCTGACCTCTTCTATTGAAATTATAAATATATTTTCTAACCAAAATACTGTTTTAAGAGTAGCTAGAGTTTGTGGTGCCATCTTTCAGATATCTGATATAATAAATAGCCTCGATTCTGGTGAAGGTGCAGTCACCACACAGTGCAGGTGCAGATGCAGCCTCCCTAAGCATACGTTTCCCAAGATCCCCAGAGTCATGACATCACACAGCTATTGGTGACACTATCTGTGCAAGGTAGAGTCAGACTGGATAAAAGCTTCATTTGGGGCTATCCCACTGCTCTTTTATTTTCAGTCCATGTCCCTGAAGGTTTTGCAAATTCCACCGGTCCTTAAGCCAACTGGAACACCCACTGCAATACATCCCTGTGTAGGAGAATCAGAATCTTCTCCCACGTGTCCTTGATGACTTTTTCCACTTTGCTTGCTAGCACTTCAGAAAGCTTACTTCCCATTGTTTTACATATTGTCATAGACCTTGCTTTTGTCACCTGACTATTGCAAAGATTTTACAATTTTAGGTAGTTGAAAGGACTTATAAGACTGTGGCTTTTATTTTAAGGCAGAGGATATGGTGCAGGGAGAGAAAGATACTGTGGTAAACATGAGGGCCCAGGTGCTAGCTTTCCAGGGGCCTCATTCACACATAGACTACCTGTCTTCAGATTGAAACACTAAGATCTGTGTCATTCATCTTAGCTTCAGAAGACCTCAAGGCAAAAGTTCCCATCTGGGTTTTTAGGCCCCTATAGTCCTGACATCAAATCAGGCTGTCTTCCTGATTCTGCCAAATGAAAACCATCAGTAAACAAACTGGCGATGTGGGGTTATCAGGGGGAGTTTCAGACAGTAAACAGCATCTCATTAATCTTACTGTTCTTATCTTGGCCAAGAGTCCAAGCTGGACAGCCAGAATTCCCCAGTGGTAAAAATAGAGCTTTTCCAGTCCAGCTATAAATTAAGTCTGTCTTCCACAGCCATCTATCTTGAAAGTCTTTCCGTGTCAGTTTGCATATATTAATCTCCTTTTTATAAACTGGTATGTCAGATTTCATTAAATGGATGAATCAGAATTTCCTTAACCAGTACCTTATTCATGAATTTTAGGTGTTTCCAGTCATTGGCTCTGAAAGAACTGCATAAATACCCTTTTATGTGTGGCCCAATGCACATATACATATATATTTTAGGGGTACATTCCTAGAATTTCTGGTATAAGGAAAAGGTATAAGGTATACCTTTTGACAGTATAAGGTATACTGTCAAATTTTCATCCCAAAAGAGTTGCATTAATTTATAGTCATAAAAGCAAACAGTTTACGACTATGGTCGGCTTCCTCAAGATAACTCATGTTCAACAATTTGCTACAAGGACTCGCAGAACTCAGAGAAGCTGTTATACTCATGGTTATAGTTTATTACACTGAAAGGACACAGATTAAAATCAGCAAAAGTAAATGGCGTATAGCAGCGGTCCCCAACCATTTTGGCACCAGAGACCAGTTTTGGGGAAGACAGTTTTTCCACAGATGTGGACAATTTTTCCACAGATGTGGGGGGATGGTTTTGGAATGAAACCGTCCCACTTCAGAGCATCAGGCATTAGATTCTCCTGCAGAGTGCACAACCTAGATGTCTTGCACACACACAATAGGGCTTGCGCTCCTGTGACAATCTAATGTTGCCGCTGATAGGACCGGAGGCAGAGCTCAGGTGGTAATGTTCGCTCGCCCACTGCTCACCTGCTGCTGTGTAGCCTGGTTTCTAATAGGCCACAGACCAGTAGTCCATGGCCTTGGGGTCGGGGGCCCTTGCTATGCAGCAGAGTTCAGGTGAGACCAAGCACAAGCTTCCAGTTGTTTTCTCCCTATGGAGTCTTAATTAACAGCACTTAATTCTCCCAGCCGTAGTGTGAGATAATATGAAGTGCTGCTAACCATCCAAGTTTGGTGTCACTGGTTCCTACTGCAGGTTGGTTATATCTATATGCAGTGCCCACATGGCTGACCTCAGTTACTTAGTCTCTGGACTTTCCAGGGGTCAAAACTGATACTGTGTGTCCAAGGCCTCTACCACTACCACCACAATAAATCAATTGTTAGCATAAACTGTCTGACATAGCCCAAGGTCCCAGGTAGACAAAGATACTCTTATGACACAAGGTATTCCGAGGCCTCAGAGGTTATCTCGCAGGAGTTTAGCAAGGTCCAGATCATTCTTTACAATGTACAGCGTTTGGACAACCCAGGCCTGCTGAGTTAATCATTTACACACAGGCTACCCATTGTCACTTGGCCTAGGCTCTCTTACAGCAAAACTATCATATATGTCTAAGCATCTACATTTAGTATAGCATTCTTATAAATGACATGGTAATAATGTCAATATGATGCCTAAAATTTTGAGAAGCAAGTGTGGCGTAGGAATAGATTTAATGAAACAACTAATCAGTCCTATAAAGCCATTAGACATTTTCCTAGTTTTTAACTAGTATGATTATCTCCTATTTTAATATTCTTCTATTCATACCTTTCGACAAACTTATACATACATGCTCAGCATAGAAATTAACTCATAATTAAGTAGTCCAGTTCTTAGCCCACTTTTCATTGATATTACATACCAATGAGGCTATGATTCAATTTTCCAATACATTTGATCATCATCATATGACTTACTTACATAAGGAAGAAGAATCATATCAACGATGCCGGTGTTATACTGTATCCACAGTATTGTAGTAGATGTAACCTGAAAAATAAGAATCAAAAGATAACGGCCTGTTACTAGAGTTCCACTGTGGTATTAACAATTAATTGGTCCAGTTCATCATTATATCATATGACCAGAATGTCTCCCAGAACAATGCCACTCAAGTTCACAGGCTTCCATTCAGCCTTTTCAGGTTCTAAGAGCAGAGCTAGTCTTAGAAACTGACTTCACCTTTTTGGGCATCCAGTATAATTAAGGTAAGGAACAACTGTCTCTTGCTCTGAGCCTCTCTCAAAGCACCAATGTAATACTAGCTTTTCCTCATTACTTAATTCACTTATTTATTCCCATGCCTTGGCTATTTCTACTGTTTTTCACCTGTCATA